TGGGTACTCCCACCTGCTGATGGTGTACACTTGTGTGCTGCACGACCTGATAAAGTCAGGCAGCAATAATAATAAAATAATAATAAAATAAAATAATAATAATAATAATAATAATAATAATAATAATAATAATAATAATAATAATAATAATGAAGATAAACGAAATACAGAAAGAACAAATAACGATAAAAAGACTATGATCTAATTAAGTACTGACCATGATCAATATTTTACAGTACCTCCTCACCTGAGGTGGGTTCTTTGACCCAGAGAGCTATCGAGGCAGGGTCCAGGAGCTTGGGCTCGGCGCCACAGAGGGAGGCGGTGGTGGAGAAGAGAGAGAGGAGGCACAGAGACTGCAGGTTGTGGGTCATGATAGTGACGGCGGCATTGCAGAAGGAGGAGAGTCGTGCTGGCTGGCTGAACCCTGGCATCTGGCCTCGTTGAAACCCCTGTACGGGAGACCAGAAGGTGTTAATGGTATTGTGGTACAAACAAAAACTCAATCTGACTGAAGAAATCTACCTCGTAAGCAGAATATTTTAACAATATAGATACCAGACTGAAGAATGAGACACTTGTGCAACATTTGGAAATCTTTATTAAGGAAACGTTTCGCCACACAGTAGCTTCATCAGTCCATACAAAGGAGAATGGTGAAGAACAGGAGTAGTTTGAGGCAATCAGTCCCTCAGCCTTGAGTCCATCAATCCTGAAAAGAATACAGCACATGTGCGAAGTGGCGTATATAATGTAGACAGTCGTCTACGGGGAATTCTTCACTTGCCTAACCTTTAGGCATGACCTAGTTCCACATTCGGATTTGTCAAGTGTGATGCTTCACCTCGCCTGTCTACAGTATATAAGCTACTTCGCATATATGCTGTATTCTTTTCAAGATTGATGGACTGGAGTATACCTGGAGAGGGTTCCGGGGGTCAACGCCCCCGCGTCCCGGTCTGTGACCAGGCCTCATGGTGGATCAAGGCCTGAGCAACCAAGCTGATTACATTGACTCAAGGCTGAGGGACTGAGTGCCTCAAGCTCCTCCTGTTCTTCACTATTCTCCTTTGTATGGACTGATGAAACCACTGTGTAGCGAAACGTTTCCTCAATAAAGATACTCAAGTGTTGCACATGTGTCTAATTTATCACTAGTAGGAAATATACAGCATACGTGCGAAGTAGCTTATATATTGCAGTCAGGTAAGTAGAAGCAAGAGGAGGCAGAGTCACCACTAGTGTAAGTGGGTCATGCCTTGTCGGTTTTCAAAGCTATTTTCATCATAACTGTTGCATATGTGCAATAAGATCACAGGAAACAGGTAATATTATAAAATGCAGAACAACCACTGTGAAAAGTGATTTCTCACGTTATCTAGAAACTGCCAGTTCCTTGATAATGTGAGAAATCACGAATGAGCTTGAAACTTCACTTTTCTTTTCACAGTGGTTGTTCTGCATGTTGCACATGTGTCTTACTCGTCCACACTGACTCTGATACACGACGGCAGGCAGTCAGACATTTTTTTTTACCTTGTAGAAGATAGTCTGGATCTGAGTGAACCAGAGTGTGAGGGTGTCGTTGGTGGCGTCCAGTTGGTCTCCCACTCCAGCCATAAACTCTTCCAGTTCCAGGCTTCCTTTCCCGGCCATGATCTGTGCTACATCCACCAGTCTCAGACCGCTGTAAAGAAGTGGAAATCTCAGAACACTGTGGGTGAAGAAGGTTGTGGATCGCTGTGATGGAGCCCCAAATCCAGTGTCCCGTACAATAAAATATCAAACAACCAATCACAGCACAAAACACACGTACTCTTAGAGCTCTCAGTAAGCTCTTGACTGGTTCCTTCACCTTAGTTTAGCGCCACTGAAGAAACTCCTATATGAGCTCCCTGGATGAACCACCAGGCCAGCCTTCAGCTGACTGAGCTCCGAAGAATGAAAGCCACAATACCGTGGTTGGAAAAATATCCGACTAATCAACAAATTGGAAATAAAAACTAGGCGACGTTCAGGTTTGTCCTGGAACACTCGTAACTTAGCAGTGGTCCAGGACAGATTGAAAAGCCCAGTTTTCATTCAATTTTGGGGGTTAACTGTGGCCTAAGTTTCTTATGAGAGCAACCCTGCTCACCTGTATTCACGGTACCACAGCTCCAGCGTCTGCAGCATGCAGACGTTGAACAAGTGGAGGTTCTTCCTCAGAGAGTTTTTGGACGGTGCCCACGACTCCAGCGCCACGCGATCTGATGCCATCTGGAAAATTCCACAGTTTACCACATGTCATTTGCGTCTCCATCTCTCCTCCGCCAGCCTCCAAACAGGACATACATTTTCGCACGCATTACAGTTCAGTGATTTCTACTCAATCTAATATTAAATATGCATCGTATATATCAATATTTACGCATAGTTAACCGCTAATAACGAACTAAAAAAAAAAAAGTGTCTTACGTCTTCCAGCGTGGTACACAATGTAGATTCATACACTGGTGTT